TTTTAAAAAACCTTATATATATAGATTAAAAAAAGTAAAATATGTAAAATAAAAAAAATAAATTAATTAAAAAGGTGGAAAACTAAATAGGAAAAGATGTAATTTCCTCTTCAGCTGACACGATTATATCAGCGAAAAAGACTGCTTACTAATATTGTATTAATATAGCCAAATCGAAATAAGTCAATACAATAGTTTCAGGAGAACTAAAAAAAAATTGAGGCGAAAATAGAATAAATTAAGCAAAAAATGCAAAGTAAAACAAACCAAGCAAAAATAGAAAATAAAAATTCAAGAAAATACAGAATAAAACACAAAATGTAACACAAAAAACGTGTAGCGAATTCATATGCACAGTGAGTAAAATAAAATCGGACCACCCTGAATATCTTTTGATTTAGTGTTTGGATCTTCATGTTCTAGGACTCAATCTTAATGATTAAAGGGGGTGATATCAAATATGCTAATTAATTAGCGCAGACAATATTTTAAATTGAGAAATCAGACGCAAACAACGTTCTTGAATAAATAAAATTTTTTTTCGACGAATTCGAATTTTTCACCCCTAAAATAAAGGGGAGGCCACAACCTGAGAAATATCGGCCCAATACTTGGATTAGTAGAGCGTTTTAACGTTTAGAGCCCCTAACGTCACCCAAAGTGTGACGCTCGTGTGCAATATTATTTTTAGAATAGCTTTCCTTTAATTTTATTTTGTATAAATTTGAAATAATAGAAAATGCAGAAGTACTCATACTTAAAAAATTTAGCTATGATTTGTGGAACTTAAATAGGATTTAAATAGGAATAGAGAGGGTTGCCTTAAGGTTTTTTTTATAAAGAAAGAAAATTTCTTAAAAAATTATCATTTGTTCTAACAAGATACAAGATCGGTTTAAAATAGCCACTAATTTTGATATTTTTTTTAGTGTAACTTTTTTAATTTTATTTTGCGTAATTTTGAATTCATGGAAAATGCTGTAGTGCTCATTTTAAGATTAAATTACTTCTAGGATTTAAATGGGAAAATGCAATTGTTAAAAATAAATGGCTGTTTTAAGTTTTCATCAGTAAAGATAGTTTTTTAAAAGAATTTATAAATTGCTCTAAGAGCAATAAAAGCTGTTTAGAACAGCCATTATTTTAGATATTTTTTTTGTTAATATTATTAATTTTACTTTGCAAAAATTTGGAATCATAGAAAATGCAGTAGCATTCATACTTTTTAAGATTTAGTTATTATTTGAGGATTTAAATAGGAAAACGCAATAGTTAAAAAAAATAGAATGTTTGGTTTAAGTTTTATTTAGTAAAGAAAGAAAATTTTTTTAAAAAATGTTTCCTTATGTAATTACTGAAGTTCGTTACACAAAAGCATAATTTTAAACTATATCTTGTTCCTTAATTCTTTTTTTATAAATTGAATATGCCGAAAGAAAGTATTTTATACATTAAATTAGCATGCAAGATTTTCTTTTAATGATTCTAAGCAGGTAGTAGAATAATGATGCTTTGGCGATAAAAATGTTTTAATTTGTTTTATTGCTTCTCTTTGAAGCTGATTCAAAGAGATATTTTCCATTAGCGCTCTAAAGGAATTACGCAAACATTTTATGCAAGTTTGATCCGTTGTTTAATGAGGGTTTCTAAGTCAATAGGAAGAATTTTGGAAGGCAAAATGAGCTTTTTTAAAATTGGATTGCGATAGGAGACGTTCGCGAAATTTAATGGATGCAGTTAAGCTAAATAAGTTAAGTATGCATGTTTCATTTGAATTTGTTCTAAGAGTGTAGAGTTGTTTTAAATTCTTATAAAACCGATTCCAGGAGTATTACGTGATTTTAATTTCAAAAAGTATTTTGAAATGAATTTAGTTTATTTAAGGTCCAAGAGATTTTGGAGAGAGTATTTAACAGAGTTCGTTTATGTTGACATTGTTAGAACGGTTTTAGAATTTTTTATGATGTCTGTTATTCACCGAGTTGTGATATAAGCTCTGATACAATAATTTGAGGTCATCTAACGGGGCTCAAATGCGTCAAAATTGTTGGAGAGAGTCGGCAAACTTTTTTGAAACATTGCCACATTACACAAAATTGTTGGAGAGAATCGGCAACATTTTTCGAAACATTGCCACTTTACACAAAATTGTTGGGGAGAGTCGGCACCCTTTTTCGAAACATTGCCACTTTACACAAAATTGTTGGGGAGAGTCGGCAACATTTTTCGAAACATTGCCACTTTACACAAAATTGTTGGCGAGAGTCGAAACATTGCCACTTTACACAAAATTATTGGAGAGAGTCGGCAATCTTTTTCGAAACATTGCCACTTTGCACAAAATTGTTGGAGAGAGTCGACAAAATTTTTCGAAACATTGCCACTTTACACAAAATTATTGGAGAGAGTCGGCAACGTTTTTCGAAACATTGCCACTTTACACAAAATTGTTGGAGAGGGTTGGCCAAATTTTTCGAAACATTGCCACTTTACGCAAAATTGTTGGAGAGAGTCGGCAACATTCTTCGAAACATTTCCACTTTTCCCAAAATTCTTAAGAAAGCCGTGACTGATGTATGACTCTACAGATAATTGGTCTAGGAGACTGTAATACAGTATGGAGTGCAAGGTGGTCCATTTTGAGTAAAAGGGTCATAGAAAGTCGTAGAAAATGCATTATAAGAAATATTCAAGAAATATTATTGATTTTAATTCTATTTTCATACAATTTCCTTTGACTTATAAAGGTATTTATTTCAGGGTTGGTATGCGTTTAAGCGGCTAAAAATGTAAATACAAAAATAAGAAACATTTTATAAGTGAAGATGAAAATAAGAAAACCAAATCGGTAACTGCATTATTAAAATATTTTAAAATATATATTTACTGATACTATTAAAAGTGTTCTTAAAAAAACAACAACCTGAAAATTACAGAGAAGTAAAGATGGAAATAAAGAAAATAAATCTGTAAGTGCGTTATTAAAATATTTTAAATTAAATACTTATAGATGCTATAAAAATATTCTTAAAAAGTATCTGGAATATTAAAGAAACGAAAAGATGAAAAAAAAAGAAATTAAATCTGTAAGTACATTATCAAGCTATTTTAAAGTAAATATTTATTGTTACCATAAAATATTTTTAAAAAACCTCCCCAATATTCAAGAAAGGAATATCAATAGTTATTGATATTACAGAAATATTTTTTAAAAGTATCCAGAAAATTAATAAGAATATTATTAAATATATGTAAAAAACAAAATAAATTATTTAGAAACACAACATGCAAAAAGAATTTATATAATTTATAAAGAATATTTATAATTAAAAATATTAAAATTTGCACTCTAAATTACTATGCGTTATACAGGACATTGAATAAGGACCCATAAAAGAATATGAATTTTACTTATTAACTATTGGACTTTAACATAAATTATAATTCTAGCATTAGAGTTAATTTTTTTTTTAAAATTCAAAAAGTACTTTTAATTCCAGTCAATCTGTGCTCTTGGGATCTGCCCTCGGCTCCATGGTGGTCATTATATTTGTCACACTTGTTTCTTGTCTCATATGCAGAAGATGCGTTCCATATCGAAGACATCATGCTTCCCTTAATGGCGGTAAGTTTTATTCTATTTCATGTAAATTGCAGGATTGTTTTGCACTTAACTTTTCATTTTCATTTCCTCAAAGAAATGATATGAGCGTATTTAATTTTAAAAGAATATTTTCTAATAAAAAGGGTCACTTCAAACATGGATCTGTGGCTTAATAATACAAGAGTTCCTTTATCTAAAGATGTTGAAATCGAACAATCTGCAAATTAATAAATTGTTGTTTGATAACAGTCATAATTTACCCAAAAGAAATGAAACTAAAATTTACTCTTGGGTTTAAAGGAGGTTCATCATCAAGATATTTTTACCTTGCGGAATTTCAAAGGTATACATCATTAAACTGTTTTATAGTAAAGTGCTCGAATTCAAACGTTGGACGTTGGATCCCCTCAGCAGAGGATCTAAATTGCAACAAGTCTTTCAGACCGTCGCCAATAGCCCATTGTGCAGCTGCAGTGTGACATAAATAAACTAAAACAACAGCTTTCACTCAAAGTTATAAGTTTGCCTTCTTTTGTGTTTTTTTAAAATAAATATTTCTTATTCAAAAAATATATATCAAGGAAAAACAATATAAAAAAAAACCAAAATTTTTAGTAAAATATAAAAAAATTATGATAGCTCTACACTGTTAAACATTTCCCTGAAAAAATGGTTCTATAACAATTTTTTTAATTGTTATTTTACTGTGTTCAAATAAGACCAAATAACCATAAATAAGATGATAATCATACTATTAACTGAGAGAAAAATCGTTTATTAACTGCTTTCACTTAATATGATTAAACAACAAGAATTTTATCGCACCAACTAATCCTAGCTAATGAAACCACTTAAGGCCTGGTTTCTTAGGAAACGTCGGCGTCAGCTTGAAGCAAACGTTTACCTCTGATTGGTCAATTTATGAGTTTGACAGCATACGTCATCGAACGCTCAGCTTGAACGACAATTGCCTTTAAAATTAACTGCAGTTGGATTACAACGTGACGTTAACAACAGAAGCAATGGCGGACAACAGCCAACAACAGAGCATTGAAATCAGCCAAGATTTTAATTTTAACATTAAACATAGCTTCTTTTTCCTCTTCTTCTTCATTTAGCTAAGCTATAATGTGTTTTTTCTTGGACAAAGTCATTATTTGTTCTTTAAAGCACTGGTCAACAATTACAAAATCAATACAAATTCAAAATAGATATTTGTTTACGTTATTAACGCATGCGCAATGCGAGATAATGTCTGTTAAACTGACTGCTCACACTGAGCTAACAAAACGGTATTTAATGGCGTCAAAATTAGATCAACTTAACGCTGACGCCCAGTTAAGACGCTTCTTCTAAGAAACCAGGTCTTGAGCTAACAAATCAGTATTTTGTTGGCGTCAGGGTAACGTCAACTTAACGCTGACGCCCAGATAAGGGGCTTGTTCTAGGAAACCAGGCTCTTAGTTCCTTGCTGCTGGGTACATATTATAGCCTAGAGGGCTAATCTGTCAATATCATGACCGACAGCACGGAGTTTGAGACCCAGCGTTAGCACCATATTATTTTCTCCCTCCCTAAAACACATGAAGAGTTTCCAAAGCCTTATAATCCCAGTTATGCTTCGTTTTTTACGGTTTTGAAATCATCCTAATTGTAAACGGTAAAAAAACCGTGCCATTTTATATTTAACTAGTTGTAAACGGTTTCAAAACCGTAAAGGTATAAAATGTTCTTTACCGAAAGTTTTACGGTTAATTGGATGGATATACTGCTGCCGGTTATTTTGCCCTAATTTTAGAATGAAATTTCTGACAGTGTATTTGGCGTTGTTATAAAGCTATTTATGCTATTGTTTGCCAAATAAGCAGTAGAGGTTTTGATGAAATCACGGTTTTCTTACAAGGAAGTTATTTCTAGTAAAGAAGCTTGCAAAAAAACTAAAAATATCTTTTTTACAGAAATTATTCTATAATTTATGAAAATTTTGAGTGCTGACAAATCTCTTAATTTGTAAAAGAAAGTAAAAGAACGAGCCGTAGCATATCACATAGAAATACAAATAAAATTACTGAAGAGGAGAAAAAAAAGCGAACATTGTGAGAAGCTTGGCGAAGTGCAGTAAACGATTTCGATATCTTTTTCTTTCGGATAATTTTGAAATGCTAATATCAATGATAAAATAATATTAATCAATATGATAAAATAATATAAATTACTACGTTAAACTAATATCAATCAATACTCAATAATAATTCTGAAAATCAATGATATCAATGATAATTCTGAACAAAGCATCGAAAGTGAAAAAAAAAAGTAAACTTACATAACAAAGAAAGNTATTTAATAAATAGGTATATATTTTTGACTCTGACAAAATATGCATTGAAAATGAAACTTATTTAATGCGGCAGTATTATTGAATTTGTTAAGAATAATTAAGTTGTAATAAATTGCTTAAGGATGTTTTAAAAATATTTGAGTAAACTTTATTATTAAAAAAAGTAAGCTTCTTTTGTAACTTTATAATATTTTCACGTTATTAAATTTATTTAAAAATTTCATTTTTATTTTAACTCTTAAAGAAAAAACTGAGGGAGTTAATGAGTTATACAATCTAATAAAGAATATTTTTTAGAACGTTTAGATTAAATTAGATTAAAATTTACTAGAGGAACTTGCAAAACATTGCTACTAAGTTTGTTTTTTCTAAATGTGGCTCATAATATAATATTTTATTCAAAAATAAAAATTACTTTGGAAAAGCACCTTGCATAATAATTTCCTTAAAAAATGTGTTTTTAATCAAATAGGAACATTATTTTTATAAAAATGGAGCATATCAAATTGCATTTTAGGCATAAATTAATTTTACATGTACATTTTGCATAGATATCGCATATGTAGAGTCTGTATATATTTTGAAAGTATAAAAAGAAACTTTAACGTTTTAGCAGATTCACATATGGATGAGCTATACTAGAGATGAATATCATTTTGAAACTTAATTCTAGTAGTGCAGTGAAATCCTTTGCACATCCCCTCACACAGTAAGAAATTTCTTGGTAAAAATGGGAAAATAGCAATTGATTTAATAGTTTTTTTTACCAGATTAAAGTAAAGGAGCCAAATAACCGTTAATGAGAGAGTATTGAAACTGTTAACTGCGAAAATAACCGTTTATTAACCGCGTTCAATTAATACGATTGAATAAGAGGAACTTTATCGCACCAAGTAGACCCACCAAATAAAGCCTGGTAGGTTACTTTCAACTGGGTATTATTTTAAACGAGAGGGTTAATCTGTCTATCTCATGACTGATAGAACCGGGCTTCGAGTCCCAAAATTGACGCCATTATTTCATCCATTCCCTTCAGCACGTGAAGAGTTTCCAGTGTCCTGCACTCCCCATTAGGGACTCTGGGCAGTTAGAATATGATACGCTCGTTTAAGCATAGATGGCAGCACCATAAAACAACTAAACTATCTCCAATATCCAGTTAAATTTCTTCTTTACGGTTTTGAAACCAATCTATTTGTAAATGGTTAAAAAACCGCATTGTTTTATATTCATGATTCTTAAGCCATAACTTGCAACAAGTTTAAAAATCATAAATGTTCTTTACCGTAAACTTCACGATTAATTGGATGGACAGACTGTTGCCGGTTCCCAGGAGTTTAGAATGAAAATTTTAGCAGTGCACTAGTCGTTGAAAATGTCTCTAATATTTACCTGTTTTCGGGAAGAGTAAAATATCCCTACCAAAAAAAATGACTACCAACACTTATAAACAGTTGTAACATTATATGGTTATAACATCTATACATTTTTTATCTAGAAAAAGTAAATTGTGGTGGAATATTTAAAATTAAAAATATTAAAATTTGAACTCTAAATTAGTATGCGTTATACAGGACATTGAATAAGAACCAATAAAAGAATATGATTCTTACCTATTAACTATTGGACTTTAATATAAATTATAATTCTTGCATTAGAGTGAAAAAAAATGTTTTTAAATTCAAATAATACTTCTAATTCTAGTCAATCTGTGCTCTTGGGATCTGCCCTCGGCTCGATGGTGGTCATTATATTTGTCACACTTGTTTCTTGTCTCATATGTAGAAGATGCGTTCCATATCGAAGGCATCATGCTTCACTTAATGGCGGTAAGTTTTATTTCATTTTATGTAAACTGCTGGATTGTTTTACACTTAACTTTTCACTTTCATTTCCTTTCATTTCAAACAAGGATCTGTAGCTTAATAATATTAGAGTTCCTTTATCTAAAGATGTTAGAATCGATCAATCTGCAAAGTAAGGAATTGTTATTTGATAACAAGTCGCATTTTACCCAAAAGAAATGAAACAAAAATTTTCCCTCGGGTTTAAAAGAGGTTCATCGTCAAGGTATTTTTACCTTCCGGAATCCCAAAGTTATACCTCACTAAACTGTTTTACCATAAAGTGCTCGATTTCGCACGCTGGACGTCGGGCTACCAACGAGGAGGAGCCATCCCCTCTGTAGAGGATCAAAATCGCAACGGTTTCAAAACCATAAAAGTAAAAAATGTCCTTAACAGTAAAGTTTATGGTTAATTGGATGGATATACTGCTGCCGTTCATTTTGCCGTAATTTTAGAATGAAATTTCTAACAGTGTACTTGGCGTTGTTATAAAGCTGTTTATGCTATTATTTGCCAAATAAACAGTACAGTTTTTGATGAAATCACGGTTTGCCTTCAAGGAAGTTATTTCCAGTAAAGAAGTTTGAAAAAAAACTAAAACTAATTTTTTTTATTGGGATTTGAATCTCTGTAAAAAAGTTATTTTTTGTTTTCGATCGATAATTTATCCAAATTTCGAGTATTTTGCCGGCAAACCTTATAATTTGCATAAGAAAGTAAAAAAACGAGCCGTAGCATATCACATAGAGATACAAATAAAATGACAGAAGAGGAGAAAAAAAAAGTGAAAATTGTGAGAAGTTTGGCACGAAGTGTAGTAAACGATTCAGATATCTTTTTCTTTCGGATAATTTTGAAGATGCAGATTGTAACTCTATAACTACCTTAAACTAGTATCAATGTTAAAATAATATCAATCAATATGTTAAAATAATATTAATTACTATGTTAAACTCATATCAATCAATACTCTAATTAATATCAATGATAATTTTGAATAAAACATTAAAAGTGAAAAACAGTAAACTTACGTTACAAAGAAGGATTTAAATCCTAAAGTTTAAGTATATTTTTACAATTATTAATTATTCCAATTATCTAAGTATTTGTTTATTTTATTTAATGCCATTACTATTTTCTATTAATATTTTATTAATTACTACTAATTGAGTGATTCAGCGAATCATTCAGCATTTTTGTATGACTATATGATTAATAGAGAGTCGAAAAGTTTAAAAAGCTTAAAATTTAAAAGAAACAGCATAATATTGCAAATAAAAATACAGCTATTACTCGTAATATTATTAATTATACAGCTGGCACAAGATTTGAGAGCTAACCAATAGTTGGAATATTCTTTTAATTATCCCACATAAAGAAATAATTTGCCGCTGACATTTGTGAACTAAAGAACCAACGATGGTCAAAAATATGTTAATGTGTTAGCAACTGTCGACAATTTAATGCTGTTTTAATTAATGGATGGAGTTTTATAATTGAAAAAAACGTTAGTTTATTTGCCAAAAAGTTATTAAAAAAGGAAAAAAAAGTAGTTTGCAAAGTTTTTGAGAAAAGCTCATTTGTTTAAAAAATAAATAAATTACGTATATTCTTATTTAATATTTTATTATTTTAGTTATTTATTATTGAAATGATAATAATAATTAAAATGATAATAATAATTAAAATAATAATAATAATAATAAGTTTATTATTTATTATTTTATTATTTTAAAATTTAACCGCATCTTTAAAATCAATGTTTTTGAAGTACAGGTGAAAAACAACAAAACTTACAAATAACCACACTTAATTAACTCTGCACCGTCAGACATTTCTGTAAAAAATATAGAAAAAAAACAAGCTTCGTTCAATTACCTTAGGTTTTTTTAAACGCATATAACTGAGTTTCTCCTTTATATTATTACCAAAAATAACTTTTTCGTTTGCGTTTCTCTAAGGTGTCTTTCTTTCAGATATTTCAATGTTTCATTATTTATTCCATAGGTAATTAATTTCTTAGGCATTTATTTCATAGGTTATTTATTTTATAGGTAATAAGTCACCCATGCGATGTGGTGGGTAGACGGCTCTGGTCTGTGTTCGATGCCTCGTGTAAAAAAACTATATCGATTTCTATACAAACATTATTTCTATCAAACTATACAAATATTCTCTAATCAGGGATATGGAAATCTTTCTAATGTTTCACAACCCGAAAATGCCAAAAGTCTAAGAGATGCTTACAGGGATTTTTATCCTTATTTCTGTAAAATAACCGACTTACCTGAAATTATTTTTCTATTTATTTACTGAAAGTTACTGTTTTTAATTCAGTGTAATTTTACAAGAGACTCCTGGTAAATGATTTACAGTTGGTTCTTTTGAAAAAAGTTTTTTTTCTTGGTGTTTACAACTCTGATGTTAAATCCAGTGCAGATGCATCATTTTTAAAATAAAAAAAATGTGGTTTGCTGTATACTTAATCAAGTTTATTAAATGTTTAAACTATCTCAAGAAGATTTTAATATTTAATAAATGTACAGCATGCAAATTTTTTAGCATGAGTTTTCATTATTATTATTGATAATTTTTAAAGAAGTGTTAAGTTATAGTATGTTTAAAGTATAGTTTTTTTTTAATACCATCAAACATTTTAGCAACCTATGCCTTATTTGTTTATGTCTCAAAATTGATTTTGCAGGTCCTCTCTATGCTTTGCACTGTAGTAGCACGACAAGTGGTATGGCTAATGTATATTCTTTTCCATGTCAATCGTCTATAGTGACGACACCTTTGGATTCCTCTCATGTTCTACTAGGCGTAGAACAACCAGAACACATATATGCAGTACCCATGAATTCACAAAGAGGTACTTTTTTCTTTAATGCACAATCGAACAACTACAATAAATATTATGAGTGCTGTGGTGGCTCAGGGAATAGAGCATTCGCTTTCTAATGAGGTGAACCGGGGTTCGATCCTGGCGATGGCTGGTCGATACGAATTCTGCATCCGGCTTGCACCGATCACTGTGCGGAGGTGAAATATCCTCAGTGGTAGAAGGATCATGGGTTAGAGTCCTCTTGCCGTCAGGCTAACCGTGGGAGGTTCTCGTAGTCCTCCTCTCCATGTCACGCAAATGCGGGTCAGTTCCATCAAAAAGTCCTCCACGAAGGCAAAATTTCTCCCAGGATTTCCCTCGTCTTCTGGATTGGGTTTAGAATTACAAGGCTGCGGAGTTGAACATTAGTAGTAGTAAATCCAAAAAATTGGGTCGGTTGCTCAACGACGGTTATAAAAGAATATTATGAGAGCTGTGGTGGCTCAGGGGATAGAGTATTGGCCTTCCAATGAGGTGAACCGGGTTCAAATCTCAGCAATGGCTGGTCGATACGAATTCCGCAACAGGCTCGCACCGACCACGGTGCTGACGAAAAATATCTTTGGTGGTGGATGGATCATGGGTTAGAGTCCCCTTGCCGTCAGACTAACAGTTGGAGATTTTCGTGGTTTTCCTCTCCATGTTACATAAGTGCGGATTAGTTCCATTAAAAAATAATCCAAGAAGGCAACACTTCTCCCAATATTTGATCCTAGAGTTCTCTTGTCTTCTGGATTGGGTTCAAAATTACAAGGTTGCAGCGTTGAACATTGGTAGGCGTGAACTCAAAATTGGGTCAGCTGTTCAACGACGGTTATAAAATATAAAATAAAATAAATATTATGATAAATATTTTCGTTACATTTTTCACAAAATTTAATCATTGCACTGTACAAAACTCTGGCGTATGATTAGCGTATGACGTATTTTGCTGATGAGGTTAACAAAATACATTTTTAAATATAGAACTGCAGTTATCTTGCAACAAATTATGTAAAATTGAAAGAATAATAATTGTTTGAAAGAATTATTGCGAAAAATATGCTTATTTTTTTAACGAAATCTTTTTGTAATGAAGTCATTTAATCGATTCTAATGAGCATGAAAAAATGTGTTGTCAGTAAACAAACGAACAAAAATTAATAAACAAAACTATAGAAAGGAAAAAGTAAATAAAAAATATGACAACATGCACAGTAAAAATTTTTGGTTTCCTCAACACTAAAAATTGTTGCAACAATGCAACAAAAGTTTTTTACAGTGTCAAAGGAAAAAATAGAAAAGTTGTCATTTGTTCTTAAAATTTCGTAACCCGCATTGCATTCTTATTTCTTTCGAAGACTTTTAATTTTAAATTTAGGAAAAATGTCTTCATTTTGTGCTTAATTTCAGAAAAATGGAAATTAAAAATTTTTTTAACTGACTAAAATACTGAGAAATTCATTTGATTTTCTTAAAACAATAATAAGTTTATTAGTTCGAAAAACACTATCTGCTTAATAGTATTGAAAAAACTGAAGTTTCACAAAATTATATATTTTAACCTTTGTACATGGCTAAAAAATTAAACATTTATTTATAAATTAAGTGAAATTTACAAAATTATTTGCTGAGGTTTGCAATCTTGTTGCGTTAAATGATTCTTTTGCATTGATCTGGTAGAGTATTATAGAGAGTTTGAAAGATTATTTTGCGATAGGAAAATTTGTAGATTTTGCTTTGATTGGGAAGGGATATGACATTTATGAAACTGGAGAGTGAGATATTTCATTATTTAGTAAAGTTTAGATTCTTATTTAGATCAAACTCAGTTTTCACTTCTTAATAGGATGTTAAATTTTTGAACATATTTAAAAAAAATTAATTTGTTAATATTTCATTTCCAGTTATTGTATTGACACAATTTATCAATATACATCATCCTTCAGCAGTTTAAAGAGATAAAAAATATTATAAAATGTTATCTGGTTATTTTTACCTTTTGATTTGAAAATGAATTTTTCAAATTTTGTATAATCTTAAAATGATATAATGTTCATGAGGAATTCCTTTATTTAATATGTCCCGCAGTGGACTGATTGTTAAGACACGGTTCCCAGCAGATCACCGACGTCAAGCATCACTGGCTATGATCAGTGTGCGGGTGGGTGACAACTTGGATCAGCCTGCGTAGGGACCGAGGGTGTGCGGTTTTGGTCCTCGTTAAACTGTTCTACCGTAAAGTGCTCAACTTCGCGTGCAGGTCGTNCTTTTGATATAAAAATGAATTTTTCAAATTTTGTATCATCTTAAAATGATATAATGTTCATGAGAAATTCCTTTATTTAATATGTCCCCGATCATTAAGACACGGTTCCCAGCAGATCACCGAAGTCAAGCATCACTGGCTACGGTCAGTGTGCGGAAGGGTGACCACTTGGATCAGCCTGCGCAGGGACCGAGGGTGTGCGATATTGGTCCTCGTTAAACTGTTCTACCGTAAAGTGCTCGACTTCGCATGCAGGTCGTAGGGGTACCGAAGCGGGGGGTGCCATCCCCTCCACAGAGGATCAAAATTGTGATGGCATGTCTTCGGATCATCCTCAGGGATGTTTCCCATACCGTCGCCAATAGCCCATTGTGTAGCTCTAATGCAACGTAAATGAACAACAACAACCTTTATTTAATATATTCTTCTTACAGTACATACAGGAACAGTATATAGAAATAATTATTATGAGAGTTTGATTAAATATTAATCTTTTCCTCCGTTTACTGATATTATGACACTCCTCCCTATTATAAGATTTTGCTATATTAATAACTAGGGGATTTGTCCCCTTCTCTCATTGTTCACAAACCTCCACGGTTGTCCCAATAATTTCTTCTAGATGATTGTTATAAATAAGTGAAAAAGTATTCAAGTGAGAGATTCTAAAATGATTAATTTCATTATCACAACTTTCACTTATTTACTTAAGCCCTAACAATTTCGCTCGGTCACCATTGTAACTTCATCGACAATTTTTAAAAATAATTTATATTCGAATTTTGTTTACTTAAAAAATTCTTTAAGTGAAAAAGATTATGAAATAAACAAGGGAAAATGTAATTCTTAATAATGTTTTACAATTTTGCAATCGCAATTTTATTCACATTTGTTGACTAGACGCAGTTTTACACAAAATGTGTTATAAAAGTAAATATAACTTATTTTTCGCTTTGCAGTTTTAAAACTGTTAATACGTTCAAGTACCAAGTTAAATATTTTCGTCATTATTACGTTATAATAAAGAAATACAGCTTTTAGTTTTATGCTTTTAATTTGGAATAATAATTGAAATCTAAAACGTAATAATAGCAGATAATGATAAAAGCGGATGATAAATAAACATTGCCCCCGCTGCATAAATAAATATTTTACAGATAGAAAATACTTACATAAATTTATTTTTTAAATTTACGCAGATGACAAACAAAGAACTTTATATTTTTATGCGAGAAAAACTGGTATCATGTGATTTTCTAGCTAATAAGAATCCACCGAAAAACCTTTTCATTATATTTTTTATATTATATAAAGGTATTTTGTTTATTAAACTAACATAAACTAATAAATAAAAGTGACATTGCACCGAAATAATAAAATTTTTACTATATGCGAAGAATATTTTATTTCTAGTAACATAATATCTTCAATTTTGATTTCTAATTTGTATCAAAGAATCATTAAACATATTGGTTTAATTTGTCTATTAAAATACTATGAATTGATTTTCCAACACTAATTCTGTTACTAAACGGCTTCAAATTTAATCTAAAGTTCTCATGTTATTTTCTTTGATTTTCTTTCTTGTTTCTACATTTGAATTTGATTTTATGCCGTTGATAATCATTTTCATATCAGTGAGCTTGAATTAGAAAAGGCTGTCATTTATTTCATAAATAATATGTACTTTCTGTCAGGAATTAGCAGACATCTAATGGCAGGGAGCATTGCGGTACAGTGTTCAACACCAACAGATCCTCCTCCGTCTTACACAGAAGCAAGTGCATCAGCAGCAGCAACCAGCGTAGTAGAGAGAGCATCTCCAAAACCTGAAAGGTTGGATATATATACTTCTAAATACAATATTTCTGAATACAAAATTTCTAAATACAGCATTTCTAAATACAATATTTCTAAATAAAATATTTTGAAATACAATATTTCTAAATGCCTGTTTAGAATTTGTTTATTTTTCTCTAGTTTCGTAAAGGCCCATATAAGAGTGGAATACGTCTGTTAGGCTTAGCGCATGTTGGTAACTTTTCATTTGTAGTTTTCAACTTAGGAGGATTGATTTATATAAGCAAAGAATGCAAACCTATCCGGTTCTAATAATATTTTTCCTATATTTTTCCTAACCTATTCCTACCATTCCTAACCTATATTTTTCAATTTGACTCCAAATTATGGTTACGAAAATTTCAAACAGTGTAACTGAAATTCATTATGTTGTTTAAAAATTACTTCAAAATTATAATAAAGTCTAACAAAAATTTCATAATGCACAAAGCGTGGTATAATCTATTAATACTGTTTATCGTTTCCTTTAGAAACTAGAATAATATATTGGTTTGTAGACGATTAAAACGAATACAAATGTAAGAAATTTAAGGTCTTGTTGAAACATAATATTACTCTGAAGCATAGCTTAACACCAAGAGTAGTTTTATTACAGAGTAAATAAATTTCTTTACTATTGATTTAAGAAAACTATGGTTTAATTTAACATCTTAATAAAGTTTCAGTAAATTTGGATGGTATCATGTTTTAAGATACTACAATACTATAACGAATTCCGAATCAAATTATGGTATCTAAAATCTATTTTTCAGTAAAATATTATACGATATATTAAATTTTCGTTTCGTAGCATGTTTTGGTTAAAATGGATTTTACCGTGAGGAGTACTGGTATCCTGAGTGCCAGTACATTAGTGCAAGTACATATACGCACATTATACTACAAAAATGAAAGAGACACTTTCAGTTTTAGATATTGTATTGAATTTCTCAAGGAATACTCAGAGAACTATTTCGTAACTTTAGAAGTGTTTAGTTGATGTGATTTTTCAAACTTTTAAATAAATTTTCAAACTTTTAGATGTTAGAGGGACCGACAATAATATTTAGCATAAGTGAAAATCAGCGTCTATCTCCTATCGCAAAGAAAGATTAAACACTTTCTTTAAGATCATGAAACTATCAAACATCATTTAATTGATTTGTTTAAAGGTGTTTCGTTTTCCCAAAAATGAGTTAAAACTTTGCAGGCCAGTAGAGAGCGCTCTGTATACCTGAAGATCCACATCCTGATGTTGAACGCTGATTGGTTGCAGAATATGGTTAAATTAACCATATTCTGGTCATTGTGATCATATTTTTCTCGGGGTGCATTATGAATTTAACAAAAAAGTTTGCACTTACTCATTTAATAATTTAATTTCGATTCATAATTTAATTTCGATTCATAATTTAATTTATATTCATAATTTAATTTTATTATTATTTTTGTAGGAACATATCAAATGAAACAGAAAAAGAAGATACTAGTTTATCATTACCACAAAATCTTCGTCCCAACGTACAAGCATCTGAGCACGAATCAACAGACTCAGTATCAAGAATGTGACAGAATTGAATATAAAATCATTCGCAGGAATCTTAATAAATTACTCGAAAGAAAATTAGAGTGAAGCTGTTGAAAGATTTTTTTGAGTACTTAAAAGTTTGATTGGTTTTTGATGGTTACTTTTTTAAAGAAAAATACAGTCAATTATAAGCAATTCGTCGCGTATATCCTATGCATAATTTTATTAAGAAATTCTTTGTGCCAGGAAAAAATCCTTTATTCCTATAGCATATTATATGCTATTAAAAACATGGTCAAATCATGAATAGCTATATAGAGCTTATAATGTTGAAATAAATAAATTACGTGAAACATTTTTTATTTTATAAAAAATGAAAATAAAGGTGTTTTGAAAAATAAAAAAATGTGTCAGTTTATTTATTTATTGAGTAAACAATTAAAGATTGACTGACAATTTGAGGACTTAGTAAAATGGAATGTGACAATAAGTAAGTAGTAAATGGCTGAGTTTTGCTTCAGACACCAGAGACACCTAATTTTGAAATTAGTAACAAAATGTTTCAAAAGAGGACGCTGCTGAAAGAGAAAAGATTTAAATATACGCAAAATAACAATACTAGAAAAAAAGAAGAAGTCTTAGAATAAATTAAACAGAAGTTTGGGGAAATATTTCAGATGAAATAGTATAACATGCAGCTAAAAGCAATCTCATATAGTCTATACAGTAATTTGTTGACTGAAGTTCAGTGAGAAAAAAAGACTTTTTCTTTCAGAAAACGCAGTAAATCCTACATTTCTAAGTACTTACATATCAAGTACAATTATATACGTATAAGCTGGCATTTTGAGGTATCTCGTTTGTAAAACGAATCTCTCATAGGATAAAAAAAATTAAGTATTTTCTAATATACTTTTAATCTTTTAATAAAAAAATATATAAATGGTAATTTTTTGTTCAAAAGTTGAAATTTATAATTTTATCACAAATAAATGAAGAAAATGCTTCCTTTTTATTATCTCCCTACAGTATTTTTTTTTACAAATCTTCACTTCTTCTACTCCTCATAAAAAAATTAGTTACTTCAAGAAACAAATTAAGTATTTTTCTCCTGGCTTTTGTTTGCTCCATTTTCCCAAAAGTAGTATTACCATAATTTCATCCAAATGTTTAGTCAAGATTATTAAAATAAATGACGCATGCTACTGCATAAATGCTGTTGCTGAATAAAAGATTCGTTGGTGTTTGTTAGAAATGGAAAAAAGGAAAAATTTCAACTCATTTGTCATTTTCTTAATGTTTGCAGTAATATATCTAAAAACTTTACTTTCTCGAATTCCTTTTTTGCAGAAAAATGTATTATTATATTATTAATTCGAAATTTTAGATAATCTAGGGTAAATTCGTCATTACTCTGGTTAGAATTTTCTGTTTATTCTGAAACTAAAGTTTTGTACTTGCAATTTAAGAAGAAATGAAGTAATAATGCCCAACCATGTGATTTAAATCAGATTTAATTGGATACCTGTAAGCGACGTTGTGTGAGGGTGTTGAACCTAATTGGCTTCTGAATTGATAAATTTACCTTCGATGACGTCATTTGCAGGTATCCAATTTGATATTTCGTTCAAAACTTGGTACGCGTAATATTGGGGTAATTAAAGCAATTGGTTATAACAAACTCCATTAATTAGTTATATATAGCTTATTTTTTTAAAGAGTATATTTTAAAACTATTTAAAAATATTGTCATGGTAAAACTTATATACTTTACAATTAAGATATACCATTTTTAGTTTCAACTTTGTAATTTGGAACAATATTCCGAACTAAAAACATGTTTATAGCAGAGAATTAAATTAGGAAAGAAATATTACAAAGGTAATTGTTTAAGGCATGTAAAGGAAAAAAATACGACTTATTATTTCAAAAAAAAAAAAAAAAAAAAAAAAAAAAAAAAAAAAAAAAAAAAAAAANAAAAAAAAAAAAAAAAATGCTTGGTGAAATAGCAAAATTTTTCCCCCAAAATGTTTACAGTCCCACAATAAGGTATAAATCGTAACTACCAGTTAGACCATAATTATATAATTTAGTTTTACTATTTTCGAATACATTAATGTAACTTGCAACCTTGGTTTTAATTTCAATTTATTATTTTAATTGCTTAGCTGTTAATTCATTTAGAATGTCTTAGTTTAATGAGACAAAAGTACAATTTTCTAAACAAATTACGATTCAATCTAAATATTTTTTATTTCGCAGTGGAAATATTATTTTTACGGTCCTCCAAAAGAAAAAAAATTACTTGATTGTGGTATATTTTGTAGATTCTTCTTCTTCATAAGCGCAACAGCCTTTCACAGGCCAAGGCTGACTTGCAGATTTTCCTCCATCTGGCCCTGTCTGGTGCGACGGCCCGCCATCGGTTGACTCCCAATAGCTCGAGGTCCTTTTCAACGTCGTCTATCCATCTTGTAGGTGGTCGTCCCCTACGTCTCGTCCCTTCAATTGTGGAAAAAGTCACTTTTTTTGGCAGGGACGGCATCAGAATTTCTGAAGAGGTGGCCCAGCCACCTAATGCGGGATGCTTTAATAATTCTCACAATGTCGGTCCCACCGAATTTGCCATATTTCTTTGTAAATTTCGTGGTTGTAAAGAATTCTCCTTACGTTATTCTCTTGAAGAGATCCAAAGATTTTCCTCAAAATTTTTCTTTCAAAAATTAGCAGTTTTTCCTCCTCTGTTTTGTTTAGGGTCCAGCACTCACTTCCATACGTAACTCTAGGCCTGATTACAGTTTTGTAGATGTTTAACTTTGTCTTCACACTGATGAACTTGGATTTGAGTTGGTTTCTGAGGCCGTAGAAACTTCTGTTAGCCATGAAAATTCTGTTATTTATTTCGATTTTCAGGTTGTTGTGGCTAGAGATCAAGGTTCCTAAGTACTTGAACTGGTTAACAGTTTCAAAAGAGTAAGTCATTATTTCCAGAGGAGATCGATCAGGAGTTTTATTTGTTGCGATCAAAAACTTGGTTTTGTCAGCATTTATAACTAGTCCCACCTCCTTCGCCGCACTCTCAAGTGCTACAAAAGCGTCAATGACTGAGCGCTTTGTTCTTCCAATTATTTCGATATCATCAGCAAAAGAGAGTAGTTGGACAGTTCTTTGTAAGATTGTTCCATTTGTGTTGATACCAGAGTCTCTAATGGCCTTTTCCAAAGCTATGTTAAATAGCGGGCAAGAAAAGGAATCACCCTGTCTCAGGCCTTTTTCGGTGAAGAATGGTTCAGAGAGACTTGACGAGATTTTTTATTCCACACGAAACTCTTTTGAGTGTCATTCTTGTGAGGCTGATTAGTTCTTTGGGATGTTAAACTCCAACATAGCCTCAAGTAGTTTTCCTCGGTTGATGCTGTCGTAGGCAGCTTTAAAGTCAATAAATAAGTGGTATGTGTCAATTGTGTCAATGTTATACTCTTTGGTTTTCTCCAAGATCTGCCTGATAGCATGCAATTGGTCAGTCGTTGTTTTTCCTTTCTGGAATACGCATTGGTAATTATTAAAAACTCTTTTTTCGTAAGTATACTTTGGTAAAACAGAACTAGCAAACAGAAGAAGCATTGCTATATATATATATATATATATTAAATAACAAAAAAATCGACGCACCAAGAAGGCA